TACAATGAAATGTGACATTAAAAAAGTCAAATCTTACAGCATACTTTAAATATCAACTAACTCTTCCCACTACAAATGTATTACGCAGTTCTGACAAAGTCATAAATAATAACTATGGTTTATAAGTTCTTCTTATGAGTTTTTCCTGCTTCTCCCTGTAAGATCATGTTTGTCAACGGTTTTTATTTCATACCAATACCTTTAAAAATAATTAAGTCGCATAAACCAAACCTTTGACTGATATTTCTGTCAAAAATTACTGAAACTAATCTGAATTTGTTAAGTAAAAAAATAGTGATTAATGAGAGGTAACATTTTTTACCTTTTGAAATGAGACTTCAACCCCAAATGTCTGTTATTTACAAACTCAAGGCACACAAAATGAAGGCAGGACTTAACGGTGCTCAGCCAACACTTTTCTATCACTGTGTTTACAGAATTCGGAATAGCTGTTAGAATACTTCTGGACTGTATTTTTACACAAAACACACAGGAGAAACCCTATACTACCAGAATAGGTGAGATGCTGTATTGTTACAGGGAAAGGGAGTGAAATACATTTAAAGAAGAAAGGATGAACATGTCAAAAACAGAAAGAAAGAGGAAAAGAACAGATGTTGAGGTGAAAGGCAGCAACCTTTGGCCACTGAGTAAACAGAAAGTTAAGCTCATAAAGGCATTATGAGTTAATATATTAGATATTCAGAAATAAAGGTTATCATACCAATTTAACAATTTAATCTATAGAATGTCATGACTAGTTGACCAAAACCAACATTTTTTTGAAAACTAAGGTTTGCGTCCTCCACCAAAACAATAAACAAACATTTTCAGGCTCCTTCTCAGAGTATTTCATGAAGAGGGAAAAATCATAGTATGCACAGCATTAAGGTAATCAAAAATGAAAATATGGTTACTGTAGTCATGAGAATGTTACCTTGAACGGTAGGTATTTCTTACATAAAAATTACGAACAGAAGCATTGAAATAAAAGTGTTCTCATAATCTAATAAAACGCCCACAAGTATTAATGTTTCCCTAAATACATCTAAGAGCTTTAAAAAAACTCTATGGTCGAACAATTAAAAGAAAAAGCTAATTTCAGAAGAAAGACTTTGATCCCCACTGTTATTTTAATATCTACTGGCTGCTTATTAGGGAAGTTTGAGGTGGAAAATATCCAAAATCTGGCAGCATGCAGACAATACTCCTTGGTACAACAGATACTGTGAGCCCAAATCTTTACAGCACACAAGAACACACATTCAGTGCATGTTTGTGCTACTTACTGTTTGTTGCCTGCACATTTTCCTCTAGTTTGCAGAACAGCCGTAACTCAGATACCAACCAAGCACAGAGTTTGGTGAACTCAGGGGAACTGGCTCCATGACAGACTGCCTGAGCCAGCGCTCCGTCGTCTAACAGTGGACCTTTGTAACTGAAAAGTAAAACAAAAGCAACGCTTATTAATGTTTGCTGTGACTGATGTCCTTTGATAGATTTATTTCATGCTGTACACATATTGAGAGCTACACCCTCAACACATCTGCAGTGCTGAACACCTGAAGGGGCGATGTTCCTGCACTGAACTTCAACAAAAAGCACACTGAAAACATCTGAGTAAACCCGTATTTCCGTGTGCATCAGCCTACTGCCAAAAAGATTGTGTCACAAAAAATCATCATCAAAGGTTTTGTCCTCGAGAATGTTATACTTCTCTGCCTCCATCTCTTTAAAAAGATGTTACTTACAATACACCTATCCAAGGCAAAAGCAGTTTCATAGAATCATTCTCGAACTCTACATACTGCTTTACAGTATGTGGAATAATTACTGCTGAACAAGTGCATCCTTTCTGTCATTTCCTATCACGTACTAAAGGGTTGCCACGCAAAACAAAGCCTTTGATACAAAAGTTACAAAAGTGATCTGTATAACAATATCCTCCTTTGAAAAATCACCTCCCTGAATGGGTACAAGAAAAATAAAGAGAATTAGTTCTTTGCATAAACAAAGTAAGCCAAAAATCAGACCTAATGTAAGAATGTTTACAGATCATATCTTAGAAGACAGCTTTCAGGACATCTGTTTGCCGATAATCTCTCAGGGGAAGGAGGAAGAGTGGGAAGAAGACTGCCTTATTAACCAGGGGGAAGCACAAAGTCAGAATTTACCAGAGTATTTTTTTAAAAATGGACAATATTATTTTGATATACTGCACCCAAACCAGAAAGACATCCAAGAGTGCACATAACCAACCAAAATCCCTCTTTGAAACTTCTGGGTAAAGTCATCCCACTACATCAAAACAGTCCAGTGAGTCCAGGTGACCCTTGGTAAACTCAGGAGTAAAACAAAAATCTCTGAGAGCGCAAACTGAAATGTTATTCTTCTCACTCTGCTCTTGTGCTTAATGTCACATACAAAGGATGTGGCCTTCCCTGTAATGGTCTGTGATTTCATCCAACTCAAATGATGAAGCCACACTCAAAAATAACTTTTACCTCACAGAGCAGCTTGACTTGAGAGTTAATCTACTAGCAGCTGGTGGGAAACTGTAATCTGATGTACTACAACCCTACTCCATGACCACAGTAGGCTGGACGCTCCCAAGAAGCTGACTAGAGCAAGTTTAAGACCCATCCCACAGATGTTTCAGACATGTACAGGAACATCTGGGGCTCAAAACATAAGCATCCAGTCCTAGATCAAAGTAGAAGGCAAGCGATGACAACCCTTTTGCTTTGGCAGGATCAGGATTTAAGTCACTGGTCATGTCAGAGGCCCCTTTTCTAGAGTTTGTCTTTGACAGATAAGACATCCTGACTGTGTTATCTCTGATAATTATGACTTCATTTACACATCTATATGGCCAATAATCCAACTTGCAGATTCCTGACTGCAAACAGCTTTTTCCTTCCTTTCCCGCCAATTGCACATGTTCTGAAGCTACATTCCTCTTTTGGTAACATTGTCCTATCTCTTTGCTTTTCCAACAGTTCAACAAACCGATTTACAAGGCAAGAGGCCACTATCTGAACACCTTGAGCACAATTACAAAAAGAAACAGCACTTTGACATGAAGCACTATAAAAAAAATAATCCAGTAATATATTAGAAATGTCTTCAGGATCTGATTAGAAAAAATAAACTGAACCATGAAGAATTGTGGAGGTACTGCCAAAGCATAAAACCTTAAACAGAGGTCTTTCCAGACACCAGGAAACAGAAGCCCTTCAGATAGATGCAGCAATTTTCCCAGTTGTTACCATTACTGCTGAAGTCTCATGTCTTTTGTCCTCCAATTTTCTTTTCAATCTTTGCTGCCAGTCTTGATTGATATGACTTATCTGTTCACCTGCTTGCACTGTTCACTTTATTTGGTTATGCTGAAAATTGACAGCATTTTCTGTTTATAATTGCAAAGAAGAGGAGCACAAATCACAAGTCCTTCAAGCCACTGATATCCTTCTTAACACACAAAACAAAAAAGGAGCCAATCACAGTGCATTCATCATGTCACAGAGACCTTTTCACGTTTCAGGCACAGAAATACCTGCCAAAACAGAAGCCTATTTGTCAAGCTTTGGAACTAGCATCACCAACTTAGCCTGGAAATATAATCTTTGTTGGAGCATAATGACTCCAACCACAAAGTGATTTATGGGAATGTGGCCAATGTGAGTAAATACAGCTGTTTGCACAGAACCAGCAGCAGTGTAATTGTAGCTGCCTCTCTGAACTCTCAATAGCTTACAGACATGGGAGCTCACAGCAGGGCATGTTCTCCGAGCTCTCCCTTTCCTATTTATATAACTTTTACTGATTGTGACAAAGCAATAGGTTTAAACAGCAGAAATTTCCTGTGCTGTATTATACTAAAAAAAATGTAAAGGGGACAGATGCTCTGTCACTTGCAATTATTTTCCTTTTTTTCCACTCAATATAAACGCTGAAAGTTTTCTTCTTGTCTGACATCTTAAAGGGCCTCTTTAAAACTTCCCACCCTCAGCCACTCTGTCCAACAGAGGGGTTACCAACGAGACGGCACCGCATGGATCAAGGAAACCCCCACGCACGGAGCCGTGAAACGTCCGCCAAGGCCGCAGAGCTGAAAACCGGCCCGTTTGGCCTTGGGGCACCATCATCGGCCCGGTTCGGGGACAGCTCTGACAGAAAGGGGCCATTCCAGGCGCTGCCCTGCGCCGCGGCCCTGCGGGGCGGGCAGTAACGCCCTGTCCCACGCCGGGTCCGCCCTCCCGCCCTCAGCCCGCACCGGGAGCCCCGCACACCTACCCCAGGTCCTCCAGCGACTCCAGCACGTCGTTCTCCAGTAGCTCGACCTCCATCCTGCGGCGGGGCACGGCGGGCGGACCTGCGCGACAGCGGCACTCAGCGCCATCAGCATCAGCACCAGCACCCGCACCCGACCTCCCGCCGCCTGCCATCCCCCCGCCAGCCCGTCCCGGCCCCGCGGGGGGAGCTCAACCCTCACACCCCGCCCTGAGGTGGGGGAGCCCCCAGTGCCCCAGCCCCTCTTCTCCTTCTCTTGCTGCTCCCGCTCCCCTGCTCCCCCGCCCCACCGCCCGCTGCCGCCCCCGCCCCGCTCCCTCCCCACGCACGGCGCTCGCAGCTGCTGCGCCCGCGGCTGCCGGGTTGGCATGTCAGGGCGGGACCGAGCCGGGCAGGCCCCCGCCTCGCGCTTCAGCCGGCTTCCCTCGGGCCGCCCGCCGCTGTGCCTGACCGCCGCCGCCCGCTCGCGCGCCGGGCTCCGCCTATCCGGCCAAGCCGCGCAGCGTTGTGAAGCTGAGACGGGGGCGCAAGGGCGGGCACTGGGGTGTCTGTGTGGGACAGGAGCGCGGCACGAGCCAAGGACCGCACTTCTCTGTTCAGGCAGTTTCGCGGGCAGACCCGGAAGGAGAGCACGCCTCTCCCCGCCGCGGGGCCCACGCTGGAATGTGCTGCGGCGAGCGGCGTCGCGCAACGGGCGGGAGGACAGGGCGGTGGAAGGGTCAAACCGCGCCACGCAGCGAGAGCGCGTCCCCGCGGGGTCCCGCCGGGACCACAAATCCCGGCATGCCTCGCGCGCGACGAGGCTCCTCGAGGGGGGTGCCCCTGGGAGAATGACATTGATAAACAGAAATCGTTTCAGTTCAACTAATAAATTGGATCCGTGGGACTCGTTTCTCCCTGGGCGGTGTCTGTGCCCCACGCCCCGGCGGCGCGGGCTGCAGCGGTGCCCCGCTGTCCCGGTGGGGACGTGGCGTTCGGGGATGCCGAGGGCTCCGTGCTGGCAGTGAAACCCCTCGAGGCAACGCTCTGCCAGCGTTTTTTTAAAATTATTTTAAATTCTGGGTGCAGAGGAGGGGTGTAACAGCGTTCACTTCTTCCAGTCGCTCAGCCGCCAGCATCTTCAGCGGGAAGGCCGTGCACGTGGATACAGATCCATCATTAATGACAGAAAACTTAAGTTACAGGGTTACAGGGGACAATTTTGCCCGCTCTGCCCAGTTCTGTCAGGCAGCACTGCCCCCCTGCCTGAGGTGCAGCCGTCCCGCAGAAATCACATCGGTACTGGAAAGGAGGCATGGATAAGAGAGCAGGGTTTGTTCGGATGGCTGGGCCATGCCAGGGAAAGCCAAAAGCAATCCCAGTCCCTCACCGGCAGTGAGCTGATGCTGCAGGAGAGGAGTCCTGTACTTCATGAAATTGCCCTTGGCAGGCATAAAGAGGAAAAGCTGCAGTCAAAGTACAAAGCTTCTTGTAGCCTCAAGATATGTCGGAGGATAAAGAAACAGTACCTCGAAGGGCTAGAAATTCTTCTCTAACAGACAGCTCAGTCACCAGTTCTGCTACTAAAGACTGGTCAATCTATACATTTATGGGAAAAATACCTCCCTAAGACTAAAATCTTAATGTGAAAGAAATAATATGGCTTTCCCCTTTGTGTATTTGCTTCTAGTTGTATAGTGGCTGGTAAAGTGTAGCCTTAGGCTACTTCAGTTTTTTTAAAAACAAAAAGAAATTAAGGTTTCTGACAAGCTGTCTTATCACTGCTGTTAGCTGCTTTTCCTCTAGTCCATTCATTTGGGATTTATTCAAAGCATACCAGGTTTTTGCCTGGGAGCCTTGCCTGGTGGGTAGTCTAAATTGGGGGTTTGGGGGATTAGATTGTTTCCTCACAAATCCAACACTGCTGCTGAAAGTTTGTGACTTTGTTGTTGTTGGTTTTGATTATTTGTTTGGTTTTTTAATGTAATGGTTGAGTTCACCTTGCTTGCACAGTTGTAAGTGTACAAAGCAGCACAGTATGTCCAGTCTGGCCCTGCTCCTCAGTTGCTGCTGCTTCTGGTCTTTATAACATTTAGCCCTTACTTCTGAACCTTCTTTTTTTCTTCCCACAGGCAAGGACTAGGAGCAAGCAGTACATGCAAAAATTCATTTTCTTATATGGACATTATTTCTGTGTCCACTCTTGAATCTGCACATGTTGAGAAGCGAGGATTTTGTGCTAATTTCAAGGGAACATTTGCTGTCATCTACATTTACTGCAGGTAAATGCCATATTGACACTACTCAGATGATTCAGATAAGCATAGGCAAGGGATAAGGGTTGTATTCATCTTGGCACTCAGCTAATGACATCTGCCTTCTGAAAGAAATAAATAGATTTCTCTCTTTGGTTCAGTTGTGCCAACACTGCATGGTGGGGACAATTTGGAAGGCATCTTCTCCAGTTTGCATCGCTTAGTTCTGCAGCTGCATTATTGTCCTTTCTGTGCTGTGGGAACCAGCAGTCTCTTGCAAACCATATGGATCTTGTGGCTGGGGAGAACAATAGGTGTGATGCTAACCTGGAGCAGGCAGCTACAATTTTCTCCTAAGGACAGGGAAGAGAGCTTTGTTTTGTCATTCTGTGTCTTGTCAGTTGTGATTTTTTCTTTTTCTATCTATGTAGGGTTTTTCATCATCCAGATTTTGGAGGCACGAGAGGTGTGAATGGCAACTGTACAGCATCCTGGCCCTTCCAGAGGAAATCCATTTGAACATTGGACAGTTAGTTTTTTGTTTGGCATACAAGTGCTACTTGAACAAACTAATACTGTCCCAAGCAGTTTGCTATTGTGCAATGACATCACAGAACTTTCTAGAATGGTTACTTCTGGGAGCAGCAGCCGCTCAGGCTGTTGGCTCACACCAGAGCTGTAACTGGGGTAGATTTCCATGTGCTACACAAAGCTCTGCAGACTTGTCAACCTGTAGAACTGAGCTCAGCTCTCCTCATATTTGTTGTCTCCCTGGTTTGAGTTTGCTACAGCTACTTCCCTCCTCACTCTCACTCAAAGGGAGCTGTAGGTCTGGGAGTCCATGTGTTCCTCAGGCAGCTTCACAGCAGTGTCCTGGCTGGAGCCATACATGACTCCCTACACTGTGCCAGCACTGAGAAAGCCATGTAACACCAATTTCCCCTATGGGAAGAAGCAAACCAGCCCAGGCTGCTGCTGTCCTCTCTATTCAGGAGTGGACCACTGTAAACCCCTTCTGGCACCCTTAGCCCTGGAGGGATGTGGATGTGTGTGGTGAATACTGGTCAGGTGCTCTCACGCTGTGAGACACAGGTTAAGGAAGTTGGCAGCCTATGTGTGGCCTGAGGCTCCACAGCCCAGAAGTATTTATTCTGAGAGGTGTGAGATGCTCCACTGCTTGGATGCCAGCTGTCATTTAACAAAGACAATTGGTTTCCTGTGTATTTGCCTTTTGTGATTGACTGGTTTTGGTGTGTGGGATGATGTGAGCTCTGACTGAAGATAGAGACTTCCTCCTGAGCAGATTCTCTCACATCTAATAAAGCATAAGGTTGCAGCTCCTCAGCACCAGAAGAACCTGCTGCCAGTGTGGAGGAAGCTTGTTGAACTTGCCCAGGCCACTGAGTTTGAAGACATACACCCCCTGATGGTTTAAACCCCATAGGAAACCTGGCCAAAGACAACAACCTTAAGGCAGGCTTTATTTCATTACAGCCAAATTATTTTCAGTCTTTACACCACCCCACCTCAGGTCTTGCCTGTTTGCTCTGTGGTTGTCAAAAATCCCCATGACAGAGGCATCCTGAAATTTGCGCTTGTGGAAAAGCATGAAACACACTGGAGTGTTACAAGGTGCAGAGTGTGCATGTTCAAGTGCTGCTAATCACTAAAATCAAATTTTTTATTGATTTCTCTGAGGATGCTGTAGCTTTTTCAGAGTGTTTGGATGCAGCAGAATCCAGCCACTGTGTTGCAGCTAAAAGACCACTGGCTTTTACAGACATACAGCTGTATTTGCCAGGTGTGTAGGAATGTCAGTTCTGTGTCAGACCATGCTCTGAGTAGCCTGTTGGTAGTATAACTAAAACCAGGTACCACGGGAAGATCAAGAGCAGGACGATGGCATATGACACTTCCCTTAATACTCTTCCAGCTTCTGACAACTTTCAGCTCTCCAGACTCCTAAGTCCTTACTGCTGTGCTGTAAGGTTCTGCCCGAGTAGAGACGAGAGGGCACCAGGGCCAGTTTAAAGGGTGGACTGTCTAAGGCCAGTTGTTGAAGAGATCCATAGTCTGTGTGTGTGCCTGTGTCTGTGGGTGCAAGCAGGTCTTGAGTGCCAGCAGCCTGACCTGGTCGTGGGCCTTAAGGTCATGCATGACCAGGTGTCTGCAGCTGGAGAGAACAAGGATCTGGGAATGGCTATAGGACAAATGAGCATCCCTTGTTACTGAGGGGACCCCTGTTGTTTGTCATGATGTATGTTCCGTGACAGACATTCATTCCAGGGAGGGGAACATGATTATGGCATTGATCCTGTTTCCATTTTTAGAAGTGCTGTTTTCTGGTTTTATGTGTGTTCATCTGTGTGGCTGGCCACGTGCATACACCCAGACATGTGTGTGCCTACTGGGAGTACGCACTCAGCCTTGACACTGGCTGGACCTGGGGAGATGGAGATGCAGGCAGCTTCACAACTGTCAGGCTACCAGGTTTAGCATCTCCTGCAGGCAGGAGGTAATTTTTGCTAAGGAACATGGTTAAAATGCAGCCTTTGTGTGGCAGTTAATTATTTCACCAGCTATACTGTACCAAGTTCCTGAATGACTTATCAGCAGAAATGCATGCTTACTGTATTTTCTAGAGTAGCTGGATATCTGCTACTCTGATGTTTCAAATATAATTAAAGTACAGGTTGTCTCTTCTAGACATGGTGTTTGAATCCATCCCTGGATTACATCTCTATCAGCCAAAGGATGTCAGTGCTATGGTCATTAGTTTACTAGTCAGCCTCTGCAGGAGCAAATTAAGTAAGGAGAAACGGAGATGATCTACAACACAACAACATGCTGAGAGCTGACAATTCAATACTTAAGATTATCCTGATGGGTACGACTTACCAGGCAGTGCTGCTAGGAAACACGTTAGCATTGTGTGGAGAAAATAAATATTTCTAAAGTGTTAGCCCCTGAGCAGCAGAAACAAACTAGTTTGTGTTTTTTCATCATATATAAAGCAGGATGACCCAATCTACATATTGTAAAGCAATCTCTCACATGTTATTTTCTAGAATAATAAACATCTATGATAAATCTCTGCACAGAAAAGCAGGCTGTCTGTTGTTTGTCTTTATTCTTTTACGTGTTTGGCAGCTGCTGTCAGGACATTTTTTGTTAGTGAAACACGGCACCGTCTCCCTTCAGGTGAAATACTTGCAGAAAGAATTAACAAGACATTTCTGTGAACACATGACAAAAGTTTGCATGAATAATTTAACACAGTAGCTGAGTTTAAAAATAGCTAGAAGATTCCAAATTAAGTATAGAGACAGGAGCTTTAAAAAGCCTTTTTCCCTACTTTAAGCAGCTCTTCCAAGTGATAAAGAAACTACATTACTGCAGGGCCATAAAAGCCCCAGGAATCAAGAAACCTCAGAATCCAGCACCCTCTCTTGCCACTATTAATACCGTAAAAGTAGCCTGCACTTTTTTAATTCTCTTTAGAAAATAATTTTTAAACAAACAGCACTCAGGAATCAGTGTTATTTCATAAAAGTTTAATGTTTGTTTTTAAAATAACACTGTTTAATCAAGATAAAGGAGTCCACACATACAGAGTCTTCTTGGATGCTGGCAAAAAAGCTTAAATTACAGACATACCCGTGAACAGCAGGTATAACCAGTAAGAATATAGAAAAAGCCTCACTGATTAATCACATTAATAATAATGAAAAGAATGTGCCCTCATACCAAAGGGAAAAAGATACCATTCCAGTCATGCAAATCTGCACTCACCTTCTCAGAACAGGTTTACCGAAGTCCAGCAATTTCAGATAACATTTTCTTAGCTCCTGTGGAAAGTAATCAAAAGCCAGCAAAGACAATGGGCTTTTTACAGCAAACTCTATGTTCATCCTAAAATCCAGTTTGCTGAGCATTTGTCAGGTTCAACTGTTACATTCCCAAATCTGAGGCCCTTTTAATCTTTTAATTACTTCCCTCCCCTCTGCATCAAAAGCTTTCTGGAAGAAATATGGCAAGCTGTGAGAGACCAAAATGTTAATGGCCATTTGCAAAAGCAGCTGCTTTGCTGGCTCTGTGCAAGGTAACAGCCCAGGTGCAGAGGGGGTGCACACCCACAACCGGAGGCTACAAGCTGGGTGTTGAGCCAGATAAGGGAGAAGGCTGATGAGAAGCAGATCCTGCGGAGGTGGGATAGATGAGGAGGTATCAGGACATTCACATTCACATGTAGGCTTGAAGGTATTCATCCCTCCTCTCATGAGCCATAACTAGCTGACGAGAGAGGCAGCTGTCATGTCTTAGAAGGTGTCATAAACCATCAAAGACCCCTGAAGCACCCCCAGACTCATTTCTGAGGCCTTCCACCTATCCTTTCTTTTCCTTATACAATTTAAGTGTTATTTTTATGCTTCTATATTGCTATATTTCTACAGATAATAATCAAAACAGTTACATACTTCCTTTCCATTGCAACTAAAATGTCCTGAAATAAACCTGCCATATATATATATTTATAAACACCAGTCGTTTTGCTCTAATCCGCCCCAAGGGATCTATTATTAACAAGAACCTCAGCTACTCTGCCTTCAGGGGCGGGTTGTAACACAAGCTTAATACAAAATGAAAACAGCTGTCATTGAACATACTGTGTATGTAGGTAGGTCACTGGGACAAGGGATTTGTAAGAAGTAGAATAACTAAAAGCAATGTATCTGATGCTTTGGTCTACGATGCTAACCATATAAAGCAGAGGGTTTCATCTTAGAAACTTGAACTAAAACTTTCAACTTGTAAGCCTTTCTTGCATTCTGAATCACAAATTCAACTCTCGGAGAAATAATTACGGGTCATTTAGTATCCTGGATGATCTTTCTTCTGTAGACATTGTAGACAGCTTGAAGCAGGTTGTCCATGCCTGTATCTTATTTCAAATGCCAGACAGATCCAATGGGAATGATGAAGTACTACAGCAAATGCAGATATCGGACTATTTTTTTCACCCAGCCAAACTGAATCCATAGCGTGACTTCATTGCACTGAATACATAAAATACATGTGTGAATTACTTTTGTAATCCTATCTTGGACAGTATGTCTAAAGACACAACAGAGATATACTAATTTTGAACTTCTCATACACTTGGTAAAAAAATATGTGTGAAACTAACTGGCAAAGGACATGAAGTTAAAACAATACCTGGGAAAGCACCATCTTAAATGGGTTTAATTGCATTAAGCCTTCAGTTCTTTGGAGAAAATGCAGTGACTGACATTCCTTTGCTAATTGACTTTGTTCTTTCTTTTTCCCACTAATCAGGTATGCCTAAATACCCATCTTGCAGGTGGCTCGTTGTGAGTCCTTCTCTCATCTAATTATTTGGTATTTACATTTCATTTCTTCATCTCTTGACAGGACATGAATACACTGTAACATGAGTACTGATATAAGGACCATGCCTACCATTTCTTTACCAGATAGCTGTTACAGGGCTTTTCATATTCTTCACAGCTACC